TGATGAATAAATCCCAGCGGGGAAACAGCAGAATCAGGAAGAGTTGGCAGCAGAGAACCACGTCTGGATGCGGGATGAGGAGAGAAGGAAGGAAGGAAGGAAGGAAGGAAGGAAGGAAGGAAGGAAGGAGCACAGTGCCCAGCCAAGAAGCAGGCAAGAGTTCTGTGAGGAGGGCAGGGTGACTTTCAACTTTCTGCAGTTGGGTTTAAGCTGCTTAAAAGATCTGATGACAAGGGCTCAGTTTGAACCAAGCTTGTAAGTACCAGTTGCTGGAAACTTCAGACCAGGAGAGTTTCTATTGTGCTTGAATGTAACATGAGGGAGGCATAGGGGCGGTTGCCCTGGGCCCAAAATTGTTAGAGAGTGCAAAATTTCAATACCCGGTGCCACCTTGATACAGCTGTGCGCTTTTGTCGCTGCGCTCCGTTGAAAACAGCTTCTCCATGCAAACCAGGAAGTGACCTCTCCAGACAATGGAACGACTCTTCTTTTCTTATCTCTGCAGCTCGGATCTTCTGGGTGATGCAGACACCGTTGACATGCATGCTCTGTCTGTTTCCCTCCGTCTGCATGGCCCTGGGCACCGGCAACCCACGTTACACCACTGGCTGGCTTGCCATTGAAGCATGTGGTTGGCCACCATGAGAACAGGATACTGGACTGGATGGGCCATTGGCCTGATCCAGCAGGCTCTTCTTATGTTCTTATACAACTGCTTGTCTATGACTACTCCTATTTTTACTGTTTTTAATTAATTGCTTCCTAGGAAGCATCTCAAAGCGACTTCAGAATACTATAAAAGCATACTGTATACAAAAAGCTGCATATTTCAAAGCAAACCATCTCTCTCTGTGTGTGCATATGTGTTCAAATCCAAGAAATCTGGGATAAAAATCACCTAGCAGCCTTGTTTTAGAGGAAAGTCTTAGAGGTGCCAAAAGGACAACAGAGACACTGCCTGTTTGCTATGTAAAGGCAAAGAGGTTCCAAAGTCTTGCTAAAAGTCAGCTCACCCAGCTGTGGGTGGAAGGAATGCCCTCCTAGTGGGATGGGAAGAAAGGGCTTTGCATTGTATTTCTTCTCTCTATCGGTTGCTTGGCAGGAGAAGGAAAACTCTAGTCCCAAACCTCTGTGCCTTGTGCAATATCTTCAGAAGAAGAAAGGCTAAGGACACAAATCTGGGGTGGAGTCCCTAAGATGGTTTGACAGCATCTTGTACACCTCCTTCCAGCAACTCCTGCAGCTGAGCTGGTGCCAAATACAGTGGTACCTCAGGTTAAGTACTTAATTCGTTCCGGAGGTCCGTACTTAACCTGAAACTGTTCTTAACCTGAAGCACCACTTTAGCTAATGGGGCCTCCTGCTGCCGTCGCGCTGGCAGAGCACAATTTCTGTTCTCATCCTGAAGCAAAGTTCTTAACCTGAAGCACTATTTCTGGGTTAGTGGAGTCTGTAACCTGAAGCGTATGTAACCCGAGGTACCACTGTATAGTGCTCTGCTATCCTTTGGACCGCATCAGCAAGGATGAGAGAGAGGTCTTGTCCTCTGGGCAGCCAGGACCTCCATACGCACTGCTTAGGATTGCGCCCCCCAGGAAGACACTTCGGTGCTGCTAATGCAGTGCTGACTTCACCCCCGGAGGCACACTCCATTGTCTCTTGAGGCAGACAGATGCCAGCAACAGTCCTTTGGCAGAGAGGCTACAACAGCGGCAAGTGCCAGGGCAAGGCATGAGAAGGTCTCCAGCATTAATAGCATCAAGAATTGGTCCATACTTAATTGCAAGGTCTTTATATTTATTAGCTCAGTTTTGGACAGACCTATTAGTGCAAAATAGCACAGGGATCACCTCGTACCTGGCATGTGCTGTGGTTTCCATTACTTCAAAAGCAGGACACAATGAGCTCTCATCAATCTTGAGTGAAACTCAACTTCAGATTTCATCATGGCATGAAGGAGTGCTGTCTAAGGAGGTTCTGGAGCGACTTCAAAAAGAAGTTTCCATTTCAACAGTCTTTGCGCCATATCTCTGCGGTTTTGACCTTTAAAGCCCTATGCGGCCTAGGACCCACGTACCTATGGGACTGCCTCTCCTGGTATGCCCCGTGGAGGACCTTAAGGTCTACAAATGACAGCATTTTGGAGGTCCCAAGTCGCAAGGTGGTTAGATTGGCCTCAACTAGGGTCAGGGCCTTTTCAGTAATGGCCCCGACTTGGTGGAATGCTCTGTCACAAGAGACTAGGGCCCTGCAGGACTTGACATCTTTCCGCAGGGTCTGCAAGACAGAGCTGTTCCGCCTGGCCTTTGGTTTGGACTCAGTCTGACCCTTATGTTTCCCTCCCCTTATGGTTTTGATCTATGGGCTATTATTAAAATGAGGCTGCATTTTAAATTGTATTTTTAACCTGTATTTTAAAATGTCCCCCCCCCCCATTATGTTTTTATTGTAATTTTACTGGCGTTAGCTGCCCTGAGCCTGGCTCTGGCCAGGGAGGGCGGGGTATAAATAAATTATTATTATTATTATTATTATTATTATTATCCACTTGTGGGGTAACTTCCTCCCAATAGATTTCATTGCCCTTCCATCCTGAATTTCAGGCAGGGTCATTGATGAATGATAATCCAGCTTCTACCTAGGGTTTTAATAGGTCATAAGATTATACGGTAACTATATTTGTAATGTATATTTGTCGGTGTTTGTCCTTTGATGCTATGGCCTGTTGGCTACGCAAATAAAGTCCTTGTTGTTGTTCTTCTTCTGTTTCTCTCCTTTGGAGGGACATGGGTTAATTTGTAAGTACCTCCCTCTTAAATTAAGTTGTTGTTTTTTAATCTTATAATATTGTGATGCAGCAAATGACCCATCAACTTCCAAAGACAAATAAAATCCAAAAATGCAGAGGTTCTGAGTGCTGGGATGTGACTGCTTGCCAACTTAGAGCAAGACTAGATGATATGTTAGCTGTATCTCTATGTCCTGAAGCCTAAAAGGTTTGTTTATTTACACAAATTGCCAGGACTTTGGGGCTGGGAATCCAGATCGAGACCCTAGCATGGGTGGGGGTCTTTTATAAGGGAACTGCCTAGGAGGTGGGCCAGGGATCTTTCACACCAGACCCAAAATTTAAGATAAAACCTTTTTAAAAATTGAAAGGGGAGGGGGAGTCACTCCACAGACAGAGTTGGTTTGCTGTCCCTTAAAATTGGCCAAAATATGCACCCGTGTGTATAAATTAGCAAAGAAAATTTTGTGGGGGTTTTTTATATATAGGATTGTTGCTGTGGTGCCACTCCTGCTTTAACCCTTTGCATCCTGAACGATTCGGGGATTTCTCCCCCTAATGCAAATTGCAGGCAAGGGGACCCTGATCTGGATGCTAATGGGGTCCTGCCCTTGTCTGCCTCACCCCGCCAAGCCAGGGTCCTGATTTGGATCAGATACCCACGATGGCCAATGACAAACCTAGACAGCATCTTAAAAAGCAGAGACATCACCTTGCCGACAAAGGCCCATATAGTTAAAGCTATGGTTTTCCCAGTAGTGATGTATGGAAGTAAGAGCTGGACCATAAAGAAGGCTGATCGCCGAAGAATTGATGATTTTGAATTATGGTGCTGGAGGAGACTCTTGAGAGTCCCATGGACTGCAAGAAGATCAAACCTATGCATTCTGAAGGAAATCAACCCTGAGTGCTCACTGGAAGGACAGATCGTGAAGCTGAGGCTCCAATACTTGGTCTTCATGAGAAGAGAAGACTCCCTGGAAAAGACCCTGATGTTGGGAAAGATTGAGAGCACAAGGAGAAGGGGACAACAGAGGACGAGATAGTTGGACAGTGTTCTCGAAGCTACCAGCATGAGTTTGCCCAAACTGCGGGAGGCAGTGGAAGACAGGAGTGCCTGGCGTGCTCTGGTCCATGGGGTCACGAAGAGTCGGACATGACTAAACAACAACAACCCACGATGGCAATTTGTGCAACAAACACACACCAACTCAGAACGGGATCAATCCCCAGCTCACATCTGGCTTCATCTGGGCAGATCCAACAGGACCACTTCCAGGAGTCAGAAGAGAGAGCCTTATGGAAGGCGCCTAGAATATGATCTTTGCATAAAAAGAGAGTCCCAAACATGCTTATCACTAACCAGCAAACGAGCAGAGCAGGCACGTGTCTCCAGAACGCTCCCTCCAGTGTGAGTCTCTGGTCCTTGGACTCTCCCAGCTGAAATCCACCTTTGCGAAGCTTTTAGCACACGTGTCTATGCATCCTTATGAGCCCCTGTCCCTGCCTTGCCCTGACCTTCGAGTTCATCTCTCCCTGTTCCATGTGGATTCGAAAGGAGCCCAGCTTTGCAACCGGGGAAGGTACTTCTGGCATGGATGAGCCCCACCCCCACCTCGCCCCTGTTTTCGGCCGCGAGTCCGTCGTATCCCGGCAAATGCAGGTCATAAAATCATAAGACCGTAGAGTTTCAAGGGGCCGCAAGAGTCATCCCTTCCAACTTCTTGCAATGCAGGAATCTTTTATCCAAAGTGGGGCTCGAACCGTCAACCCTAGTGACCTGGGATAGCTCTACTGACTGAGCGATCCCAGGTCGGGCAACTGAAGTTTATTCGGGACGTTTCCCCATTCAAAACCAAGCCTGTTTTTGCGAGAAGGAAAGTGAGAAGGGGAAAGGCGTTGGGAAGGCGAGCGAAGTGCTTGCTTCAACGCAACTCGTCTCGCCTCCAAGCAAACTTTGCTCGACGGGTCAGGAAGGCGGCTCAGTAAACGGGGAATCGGGAGAAGCAGCCTGATGCATGCTGATATTTGCGGGTTGGATTCAGGAGGGGGAATGAAACTGCGCGTTTTCCCTTTAAGGGCAACACACACACACACACACACACACACCCATCTCTCCCCTTGGCTTAGACGGGAGCTCCTGCTGCAAGCTTGCCTGCAAGGGACCTTTCATAAACCGTTTTAATACACCAGACCCAATTCCGCAGTAGCCAGAGCGCAACAGGCAGCCTCCACTGCATTCGGGAAATCCTGGAAGTTTTCCACACTGGCTTAGCTCTGACTCTCACGCAGTCCCCCCCCCTCTCTAAAAGTTTGCTGTCATAGGAGAAGGATGTCCCGGGCAGGGGGGCGGGCCTCTCCCCCTCTGCCAAACACACCTCCCCCCCGGGGGGGGGCGGGGGCAGCCCCTTAAAAAGGCCCAGCTCCGGCCGGCGCCTGCAGCACTAGCCAACGCAAGAGCAGCCGCGTGGGGTGAGCTACCTTTTGCCTGCTCTAGGAGCCGGAGTCGCGCCGTCTGTGAAATGGGTCTATCGCGCGGCAAGCTCTGCTGCCTGGCTCTGGTGGGCTTGGTGGCCCTGGCGGGAGCCGCGATCCTAGCCGTGCTCCTGACCCGGTCCCGGTGCGCTCCTCCGAGGTACCCTCGGGCAGCGGTGGCGGCGGACACCCAAACCTGCTCCGACATTGGCAGGTAAGAGGGTCGGGCTGGAGGGCGATGGAGGGGCGGGAAGGGGGTCTTCTTTCTCTGGGACTCTCTTTTCCAAGCCTCTGTGTACACACACACACACACACACACACACACACACACACACACACACTTACCCTTCCTTTTGCCTGGGTTCTTGGCATTTCTGGGTCTTTGCATCACAGCTCAGTCAGGCCAGAGAAAGCGAGACAGTGGTTTCTCCTTCTGAGATGGGACTTGCCTTGGCACTTGTTGTGACTTCAAACTCTCCCCTGCTTCACCCAGAGGAGCCAAATACTTTTTGGGGTGGGCTGGTTTCCCCCAAAGTTGATGGCCCTTGTCATTCAAATGGTGTTGGTGTGTCCCATCATGTGATCAATTAACTGAGGTGAGGCTTACCTGTGTCCCCCCCCCCCAATATTTTATTCAAGTTGGCACCCCTGGCTCGAGCCAAGGGTTTTTCCAGGAGCCCTTCACCTCCCCAGGGCGAGACCTCCTTGTCACCCTGGACATCACCTTCGGGGCCACAATATTCTGTCCTGTGCTCCTACATGGAATCATTGAATTGTAGAGTCGGAAGGGACCCGAGGGTCATCCAGTCCAACCCCCTGCAATGCAGGAATTGCAACTAAAGCACCTGTGGCAGGTGGCCATCTAACCTCTGCTTAACAATCTCCAACGGAGGAGAGAGTCCACAGCTACCTCCTGGAGAAGTTCCTCCTGCTATTTATCGTCTCTTATTGTCAGAAAGTTCTTCCTTATGTTTAAGCCTGGATGGCTTTAGAGGAGGATTAGAATCATGGGTGCAGCCAGGATTTGTGGTTATTTTGGAGGGTGGGGCAGGACCCTTACCTGCCCCTAGCAGATTCAGAAAGCAATGTCTCAACAACGGTTCTTTTGTATTATTTTCTTTTGACCCCAAGCACTCGGAAATATCTGCCAAAATCTTTCTACAGTTTTAGTTAAGTACTTTTATTTGTTGACTTGGTTTAGGGGAAGCCGCGCCCATGATTAGACAAATCCAGCGGTTCTCAACCTGTGGGCCCCCCCCGATGTTGTTGGACTACAACTCCCATCATCCCTGAGCACTGGCCTCGCTAGCTAGGGGTGATGGGAGTTGTAGTTCAACAACATCTGGAGACCCACAGGTTGAGAAAGGCTGGGCAAATCCATGGAGGAGAGGGCTATTGACGGCTACTAGCCAGGATGGCAATGCACTGGCTGGCTCTGTGGGTCAGAGGCAGCAATGATTCTGAATTCCAGCTGCTGGAAACCTCAGGAGGGGAGAAGGCTTTTGTGTTTGAATCCTGTTTGAGGGTTCTCGCCCCCGCCGCCCCTTTGGGGCCTCTGTTTGACCACCATGAGAACAGGATGCTGAGCTAGATGGACCATTGGCCTGATCCAGCGGGCTCGTCTGGTATTCTTTTATGTTCTTAAACTAAGAAGGCTGTTTGGGTAAGGTAAAGGGGCCCCTGACCATTAGGTCCAGTCATGACCGACTCTGGGGTTGCGGCGCTCATCTCGCTTTATTGGCCAAGGGAGCCGGCATACAGCTTCCGGGTCATGTGGCCAGCATGACTAAGCTGCTTCTGGCGAACCAGAGCAGCGCACAGAAACGCCGTTTACCTTCCCGCCGGAGAGGTACCTATTTATCTACTTGCACTTTGACGTGCTTTCAAACTGCTAGGTTGGCAGGAGCAGGGATTGAACAACGGGAGCTCACCCCGTCGCGGGGATTCGAACCGCCGACCTTCTGATTGGCAAGTCCTAGACTCTGTGGTTTAACCCACAGTGCCACCTGCATCCCGCTGTTTGGTTAGGGATCTGCCAAAAAAGCACCCCTGCCCTGCAAAAATCGGGGCTTGCCCCAAACATTTTGCAGCCTGAAGAGGTGCACACCTCCCCAAGTCCATGGATAGAAACCACCAGCCCAACTTTTGTTGCTGTTGTTGCTGTTTAAATACTATGTTTTTCACTCCATAAGACGCACCTGACCATAAGACGAACCTAGTTTTTAGAGGAGGAAAACAAGAAAAAAAAATATTCTGAACGAAACAGTGGGTGTATGATTTTTGTGGTTGATGCTGTGGCCAAAGACATGCAATGTGACCTGATGGTGAATTTGGGGTGACCCAATGCAAAAATCCTGAGGATCCATGTGGATCCATGCTTTGTAACCACGTTTTTGCGCCATTGTGGCCCCAGTAAACAGTGGATGCGTGTGTGGTTTTGGTGCGGGCTGTAGCCATGGGCATGCTATGTGATCTGATGGTGAATTTGGGGTAACCCAATGCAAAAATCCTGAGGATCCATGTGCTTTTACCTCTCCCCTCCCAGCCAGCCTCCTTTATCACTAGCATCCCTTATCTCCCTCCTGATCGCTTGCCGATCAGCTGCTCAGTGGCTTCGTTTCAACACCCCCTTCCCTCTTTCTAAAAAGAAAAAAAAAGCACAATCTGCTTTTCGCCCCTGGGCAATTCGGCTCCAGGGACCACACATTCGCTCCAGACTTTCCTCTTACTTTTTAGGAGGAAAAAAGTGCAACTTATGGAGCGAAAAATACGGTAATTTTTATTAAAGATTTTCTTCAGAAGTTCGTCCATTGTTTCCTTTTTTTCAGGTTGTAGACTCTTTTCTATATATTTTTTGTTGTAAATTTATTTTCAACATCTTCCTCCAAGGAGCTGAAGGTGGCACACGTAGTTCCCCCTCTCCTCATTTAATCCCCACAACAACCCTGTGAGGTAGTCTAGGCAGAGAGAAGGCAGTGACTGGTCCAAGGTCAGCCAGTGAGCTTCACATGGCTGAGTGGGAGATTTGAACCCTGGTCTCCCAGGTCTTAATCTAACCTAACCTAACCTAACCTAACCTAACCACTGCACCAGATTGGCTGTTGAGTTTCAGGCCTAATCCTGGTGACAGGAAGGCATCCTCTTCCAGCCCAAGGGAAGCAGGAAATGACCATAAAAACCTGTGATAAAATAATAATACAGTGGTACCTTGGAATTCGAATGGAATCCGTTCCCGAAGTCCGTTCGACTTCCAAAATGTTTGGAAACCAAGGCACGGCTTCCAATTGGCTGCAGGACGTTTATTTCCAGGTTTGCAGCTCGCAAGGGGTTCGGGATCCAAGGTATGACTGTAATTCTGCTTTCCCTAGTGCTTCTATTATTGGATAGCTTTAGCATACTCAGGAATCCAAAGTTTTGTGTCTCTTTTGTAGGAAATGCATACTTTTTGTGCATTCTGCAATTTCCATTTTTAACTGTACTGCTACTCCTTCTGCCAATGAGCTTCTGTTGCCTTTCTCTGTAGGCCTGCCCAGACACCATTCATAATATTCCTCTGCAACTGAAATGTGTGAAATGTCAGGTTTCTCTATCTCCATACACAAACTTTTACCTACACTTGCCCTAGATCAGCCTTCCAGATGTTTGGGACTCCAACTCCCATCAGCCCTAGCCAGCACTCAGAGCTGATGGGAGTTGGAGTCTAAAAGATCGGGAGGGCACCAGGTTGGGGAAGACTGCACTATACAAGACACAAGACCATTCTCCACGCAGGGGCTCATGGAGACCTCAGTGGGGTAAGGGAACCCTGGACACAGACACAATCTGAATTAAGCAACCCAGAAGGTAAAAGGGAAACAGAAGAGAGGGTTGTCTCAGGCAAATTCGGGCCCTTGGAGCATATGACAGTCACCCCTGGAGCCCCAAGCAAGCATGGAGGGAAGGGGACTTTTAACGGGGTTCAGGGATCCTGTCCCAGGCCACCAAGCCATTACTTTGTGGGGCGGGGCAAAATTGTGTCGTGAATGAGAATGTTTATGCAGACTGTGGACTCAGCTGAAGGTAAAGGTAAAGGGACCCCTGACCATTAGGTCCAGTTGTGGCCGACTCTGGGGTTGCGGTGCTCATCTCGCTTAATTGGCCAAGGGAGCCGGCGTACAGCTTCCGTGGCCAGCAGGACTAAGCCGCTTCTGGCGAACTAGAGCAGCGCACGGAAATGGCGTTTACCTTCCCGTCGGAGCGGTACCTATTTATCTACTTGCACTTTGATGTGCTTTCGAACTGCTAGGTTGGCAGGAGCAGGGACTGAGTAACGGGAGCTCACCCTGTTGCGGGGATTCGAACCGCCAACCTTCTGATCGGCAAGTCCTAGCTCTGGTTTAACCCACAGCACCACCCGCGTCCCGTGGACTCAGCTATACAGCTGCAAATAAAACGCTTTAAATGTAATGTGCAATATACAAATGCAACACTAGATGGTGACAGTGAGCTACGCCAAATCCAATGTATTTTTCAAAACTTTTTTTTTTAAAAAAGAAACATTTTCACAACTTTTTTTATATGCGTGTAGATTCCACCTGTGTGTCAATGGGGTGCCAAATCAGAAGCTGCTGGATGTTAGAAGCAGCAGGCAGAAAGAAGTGAGATGGGGGGTGGTTGGCCCAGACATGTCTCTGGGGAGGTGGGTCTATGAACCACCACTGCCCCCCCACCTGACCTTCTCTTGTTTCCAGGGGGAGTTGACAGCCTTCCACTATACTCCAACCATTTCATCTCACAGGTATAGTTCTCTGAAGGGAAAATCCCCAGGAAGATATTGCTTCCCCCCCACCCCTAGTGCTCAGAACAGCTCTCTTTCCCCCTCCTTCCTGGTACCTCTCCTTCTTCCGAGGAACCCCTTATGAGACACAGAGCATATTCCTACCTGCTTTAGCTGGGATTCCTGCACTGCATCTAGTTGCATTAGATGGCCCTTTGGGTCCCTTCCAGCCCTACAGTTCTATGATTCCCCCACCTGTGGGGTAGAGGAATGAATGGTGCTGTTATAACACCAAAGTTGCAGGTTCGATTCCTATATGGGACAAACTGCATATTCCTTTATTGTAAGGAATTTTATGATCCTCAGGGTGCCTTGCAACTCTAGATTTCTATGATCTATGACCATCGTTTGAAACTGGCACTTCTCCAGATTTTGCAGCGCAAGCAACGTGCACAAGAAAGATTAGATAAAGCTTGCGTTTTAAAAATAGATATGTTAGTTAAAAACAGCTTGCAAAAAAAGAGTTACGTACTAGGAGAACATCTCTTACGAGGACATGTACGTCAGGAGAACTGCACACCAAAATGGTGCTGAGTTTTGTGATAGGAATTTTGAGGTCTTAGATATATGTTAAATGTTCATAAGTGTACCAACAAAGCACGTACATAAATCAGCACAGGAAGACCGACCCGGAACCATTTTTTATTCCCAAACTGTCCCAAACTGACCAAATGTTTTCTCTGCAAGGTCAACGGAAAATGGAAAAGCCTCCCCATTGTCTTTTCCTTCACAAATCCTGTCTTAAGGGTATGTCTTTGTTTGAATAGGGTGAGCCTGTGACCTGACTCAGGAACTAAGTATTTATCATTACTAAGTATTTTGCATTACAAAAGACTGGCCAGGCTCCCAAGGGTATCCAATAAAGTAACCTGCCAGACAGGAGAAAAACAACATTCAAATTTCTGTTTTAGACCGCCTTTTCTGTGATGTAGGTATGATGTATCTGGGGTGGTGGTCTTGAGCTACACCCCTTCTGTGATGTATGTATGATGTATGTGGGGGTGGTCTTGATCTACAGGGTGGCAATTTCAAAAGTCTATATAAGGCCTTGCGCACCATTGTTCTGGGTTCCTCCTGTCTCCTGAGTCTGTTGAGTGGGGACCCTGTTGCAACAGATCAATAAAGATCAGGCTTACTAGCTGCTTTGCTTCTCAATATTCTCTGGTTGGCCTCTGTTATTTTCTCCTACCAATAGGGAACCTATGTAAGGACTCTATATGGGCTCTTGGATACCCCCATAAAGGAAAAGGGCAATTTTTGTTTACAACAGTTTCTTTAAAATGTTAATAAAAAAGAATGCAAACTCCCATGGAAATGTGGAGAGCTGAATTTAAGACTGGGAAAAATGAGAAAGGGCAGATTTGCCTCCCCCGTCCCTCCCTCCAATGGGTGGATTACATCCTGGAGTCTCCTTCACAAACCTCCAAGGAAGGTGATCCAACTCTGGATTGGAAAGCCAACATTCCATTGGCCAATCGATGACCCGATGAGAAGGCATTTCCCTCTCAGATATCTAATAAAGGCATTTTCCATCCCAGCCAGCCAGCGAATCCCTCTGCCTTATCTCCTCCTTCAAAGCCATAGAGGCCTTTATCTCCCTCCTTTCTCAAATATTTGCAGATCTTGGCATTCCCCTCTAATCTTAGGACCTTCCATCCTCTCGGCTTTTCTTGCTATCCTCCCAGTTCTCCTCCGTTTGTCCAAACACTGTTATGGTTTTCTTCACAGGGCGGAGGGTCAAAGTATACGTCTGTGGAAGCACAGGACATGTGTGGTTAAGAGCACGTGATTCTTATGTATGCAGTGCATATAGATAAGGTATGGAACTTGCTCCATACCTATCTATGAAGGTCTCCAACGTGTATGGCTTGAAAAGAGAATGAGACAAATGCTTGAAGGAGAGGGCTATCCATCGCTGCTAGTCAGAATGGCTGTGCTCTGGTTCTATGACTGGAGACAGCAAGGCTTCTGAAAACCACTGGGGATGGGGTGGTACTAGGGTCCTGCTTGTAGGTTTTCCCATTGGGGCATCTGGTTGGCCACTGTGAGGACAGAGACTCAGCTACACTCAGTCAGTTATATCGTTGCAACTCCGTTGTAAAGACACGACACCAGATGGCGCTGTAGAGCACAAAAATTGTCTATGCGATTTTACATAGGGTTCCCCCCCTTTTGTTATAATAATCCCCTATTTATCTACTTGGGACACAGGTGGCGCTGTGGGTTAAACCACAGAGCCTAGGACTTGCCGATCAGAAGGTCAGCGATTCGAATCCCCAAGACGGGGTGAGCTCCCGTTGCTCGGTCCCAGCTCCTGCAAACCTAGCAGTTCAAAAGCACGTCAAAGTACAAGTAGATAAATAGGTACCGCTCCAGCGGGAAGGTAAACGGCGTTTCCGTGCGCTGCTCTGGTTCGCCAGAAGCGGCTTAGTCATGCTGGCCACATGACCTGGAAGCTGTATGCCAGCTTCCTCGGCCAATAAAGCGAGATGAGCGCCGCAACCCCAGAGTCGGTCATGACTGGACCTAATGGTCAGGGGTCCCTTTACCTTATTTATCTACTTGCACTGGTGTGCTTTCGAACTGCTAGGTTGGCAGGAGCTGGGATAGAGCAACGGGAGCTCACCCATTGCAGGGATTTGAATCACTGACCTTCTGATCAGCAAGCCCAAGAGGCTCAGTGGTTTAGACCACAACGCCACCTGCTCCCTATAATAGGCTGCAAACACAAAGGGAAATGAACAGATAATGGCAAAGGGAACCTTCTCTTTAAAAAGTGGCTTTGAAACAACAAATGGAGGAAAGGCGTTTTGCAGAGATAAAAGCTGCAAACAAAAACTGGAAGCTGTTTGATGGGAAGGCCCTCCCTGATCCCTCCTAGTGATTAAGAAAACCACATGTAGTCCTTGAGACAGTTCTGCTGCTGCTGCTGTTGTTGAATTTATACCCCACCTTCCTGCTAAAGTACAAAAGGTGGTTTATACAAAACTAGCACCATTTTAAAAGAACACAAAAAATTAACCCCAAAAGAAAAAAAAAATAAACATTAAAAACCAACAGCACTTTAGAAACAAGCAAGCTGCGGTTTTAAAAGCAGGTGACACAATAGACCCTGGGATTTCTTTTGTAAAAGCTTCCTTAAAAATAACAACAACACAGTAGTGCCTTTTGGGAATTATAGGGGTAGAACTACCTAAACAGTACAGAGATTTATTCATGTATGCGACTACAGCGGCAAGAATGTTATTTGCCCCCGAATGGAAAGAAGAAGAAGTCCCGACGAAAGAAGAATGGAGACAAAAACTTATGGACTATGCAGAAATGGCAAAACTTGCTGGAAAAATAAGAAATCAAGATAACAAACTTTTAATAAAAGAACGGAAATGGTTTGTCGAATATTTACAAATAAGCTGTAAAAGGATAAGAACATTGGCAGGATTATTGTAATAACCTGCAGTTTCATAAGTGTATATAATTAAAGTACAGTGGTACCTCTACTTATGAGCACCTCTGGTTACGTATCCTTTGGGATACGCATGTGGCAAACCCGGAAGTATTTTTCCGGGTTTCACCCCGCGAGCATGTGCAGAAGCGCTCTACCGCGCAGCAAGTATGCGCAGAAGAGGCCCGTCCGCAACCGGAGGTACCACTGTAGATGAATATAAGAGTAAGTTAAGTTAATTTAGAATATGCAGAAAATGATATAAAATAAATTTAAGGAACTGCAGAAAGAGGAGGAAGGAAGTCGAGTTTTGAAATGTTGACTGTAAAACTATTGAAATGTATATAACTGAAAATCAAAAATCAAAAATTAAAAAACAACAACACAGTTAGGCCTGTATTAAGAACCACAGTGGCCACTTCTGAAACCTTAAAAGCAGACAGCCCACCTGGAGATTTCAGTCTAGCTGAACCAGCAGACAATTGAGCTCCCCATCCCATGGATGATGTATATGTATCTATAAAGCTTTTGTCTTCATCACAAGCAAATGAAAGGCATCTATAGAGGAGAGGCATTTAGCAGTTGGCAGTATCTGTTTCCAAAGAACATCCATCTTGGAGTTGTATTGGACAGCTCAATGAAGGGAGAAGGGGGAATTCCATGCTAAGGGACTGAAAGTAAAACTGCCAGTACCATAAAGCCCTAATTCAAAACTATGGTGCAGCTGGAATAGTGCCTGCAGTCCTGGTGAAATCGCTTCACAAAATAGATGGAAGAGTTGGAAAAGGTTCAGAAAAGGGCAAGGAAACTCCCACGTGAAGAAAAGTTGCGACATTTGGGACTTTTCAGTTTGGAGGAAAGGCAACATGTCAGAGGTGACATGTCAAAGGTGTGCAAAAATTATTCATTATTTCTTTATAGTTGATCCTTCCTCCCAGAGGAGCCTGTTTTTTCCATGGTGTGGGAAACACATCCCTTTCACAAATTAACACTAGTGTGTGTGTGGGGGGGGACATTCAGACCATATTCCCAATTTTTTAAACAAGGTTTTTGGACTTTTCAGGGGAGTCATTTGTGGGGGTGGGAGGGACTGATTTGCTCTTGGTCTGTTTTAATTGTCTCCAGTTCAGGGTTATTGGGGGGCATTCTGATCATCTTCAGTTTTTCTTCTGTGAAATGGGTATTTTGTGGCACCCATGACTGTTTCCAAATGTACTCTGGGGCCTCAAAATAGTTGGTGGAGCCCTTGTTCCTTCCTGGTTTTACTGTGCCCCCCCGCCCCCCCCGGCCGCCAATCTCTTCTTTGCCCACTTTTTTTAATGAGAGCCATTTCCACCCCCATTCTTTAGAAGTGGCCGCCGAAACCATATAACACTGGTCCTGAAAGACCTACATTGGCTCCCAGTGCGTTTCCGAGCACAATTCAAAATGTTGGTGCTGACCTTTAAAGCCCTAAACAGCCTCGGTCCTGTATACCTGAAGGAGCGTCTCCACCCCCATCGTTCAGCCCGGACACTGAGGTCCAGCTCCAAGGATCTCCTGACAGTTCCCCCACTGTGAGAAGTGAGGTTACAGGGAACCAGGCAGAGGGCCTTCTCGGTAGTGGCACCTGCCCTGTGGAACTCCCTCCCACCAGATGTCAAGGAAATAAACAACTATCTGACTTTTAGAAGACACCTGAAGGCAACCCTATATCGGGATTTTTTTTTAAAAAAATAATTTTTATTTGGTTTTACAAGCGTAAAGTTATAACAATACCAAAGGAATGTCCACACTTTGAGATTTCTCTGAATCTCCTGACTTCCCCCCATCCCCTCCTTGGGTCTCATTGCAGACGTTTTCAACTGCATATTATTTCGTGATCCACGTTTTGTATCTGTCCATAGTGATTGTTACATTACATGTGTTCTTAAGGTCCTGCTAATATTTTCATCTGCTTACAGTGGTCTCCTAAATATATTATAATTCCACCCCCTCATCCTTTCTTAAAAGTTTTTGTCTTTTTGGTTCCTGAGCTTTCCGGTCAGTTTAGCCATTGTATCAGGAATTTTTTGATGTTTAATGTTTTACAATTTTTTATGTATTGTAAGCTGCCCAGAGTGGCTGGGGAAACCCAGCCAGACAGGCGGGTTATAAATAATAATAATAATAATAATAATAATAATAATAATAATTTTGTGACTTTTGAATGCCCCCTCCTCTTTCTTCTGAACAGGGATATCTTGAAGCAGGGAGGCTCAGCTGTCGACGCTACCATCGCTGCCTTGATCTGTACCGCTGTCCTGAACCCGCAAAGCATGGGCCTCGGCGGAGGTGTAATCTTCACCATCTATAACGCATCCACAGGTAGGCACAGCCAGTGCACATTACCGCACCAAGTCTATTTCTCCATGAAGGATTAATTGGTGGAGGCATCCGAGGGTGTGGCAAAAGCGGCCCCTTTGGATCTTCGATTTCCAAACCAGCGCCAAACAGGGTTGTTGTTGTTTAGTCGTTTAGTTGTGTCCGACTCTTCATGACCCCCTGGACCAGAGCACGCCAGGCACTCCTGTCTTCCACTGCCTCCCGCAGTTTGGTCAGACTTAGGCTGGTAGCCTCGAGAACACTGTCCAACCATCTCGTCCTCTGTCATCCCCTTCTCCTTGTGCCCTCCATCTTTCCCAACATCAGGGTCTTTTCCAGGGAGTCTTCTCTTCTCATGAGGTGGCCAAAGTATTGAAGCCTCAGCTTCAGGATCTGTCCTTCCAGTGAGCACTCAGGGCTGATTTCCTTCAGAATGGAGAGGTTTGATCTTCTTGCAGTCCATAGGACTCTCAAGAGTCTCTTCCAGCACCATAATTCAAAAGCATCAATTCTTCGGCAATCAGCCTTCTTTATGGTCCAGCTCTCACTTCCATAAATCACTACTGGGAAAACCATAGCTTTAACTATGCGGACCTTTGTTGGCAAGGTGATGTCTCTGCTTTTTAAGATGCTGTCTAGGTTTGTCATTGCTTTTCTCCCAAGAAGCATTGCTTTTTCTCCCAAGAATTTCGTGGCTGCTGTCACCATCTGCAGTGATCATGGAGCCCAAGAAAGTAAAATCTCTCACTGCTTCCATTTCTTCCCCTTCTATTTGCCAGGAGGTGATGGGCCCAGTGGCCATGATCTTTGTTTTTTTGATGTTGAGCTTCAGACTATATTTTGCGCTCTCCCCTTTCACCCTCATTAAAAGGTTCTTTAATTCCTCCTCACTTTCTGCCATCAAGGTTGTGTCATCTGCATATCTGAGGTTGTTGATATTTCTTTTGGCAATCTTAATTCTGGCTTGGGAGTCATCCAGCCCAGCCAAACATGGTACCCTCCCCCTATCCTGCTTTTCAAATCGGTAAGAAGCTTTGTGGCAAGCTGCATTTGCTTTATGCACTGGAGAGATCATGGGGCGAGTCTGTGTAGCACAGGGGAAGGTGGCACCGTTGCTGGTGATCATCACAATCTCCCCCTGACACTCGCACATGGCAGTGCTGAAGCTGCAGATAATGGCCCCTCCTCCAAATCTTTGAGCAAAACGTGCTCCGAAACCCAACAAACCTCTCAGCTGTTGTGGGGCGGGGCAGCTAGGATGTCCCGTGAAGCATGGGTCCTATGAGGAATGGCCCCAATGGGAGCCCCAATGAAGGACAAGAAAGTTCTGGATTTTGGGTTTATTGGGTCAGAGGTCCTTGGCTCTGATACAGCCCCCAAGCCCACCAGTCTCACAACCTTCCCCCCCCCCTGGGAAAACAGACTCAAGTTCCCCAAGGGATCAGAGTCTTAGCAAGTCCTTCCTGAGGAATTTTGTCTTTCTTCAGCCTAGGGTCTTCTCTAGTAATAGGTTATCAGTAGTGGCGCCCGCCCTGTGGAATGCCCTCCCATCAGATGTCAAGGAAATAAGCAACTACAGTGCTACCTCGGGTTACATACGCTTCAGGTTACAAATGCTTCAGGTTACAGACTCCGCTAACCCAGAAATAGTACCTCGGGTTAAGAACTTTGCTTCAGGATGAGAACAGAAATCGCGCGGTGGGAGCGCGGCAGCAGCAGGAGGCCTCATTAGCTAAAGTGGTGCTTCAGGTTAAGAACAGTTTCAGGTTAAGAACGGACCTCCGGAACGAATTAAGCACTTAACCTGAGGTACCACTGTATCTGACTTTTAGAAGACGTATGAAGGCAGTCCTATATAGGGAGGCTTTTAATGGTTTTTTTGTGTTTTAATACTTGTTGGAAACTGCCCAGAATGACGGGGGCAACCCAGTCAGATGGGCAGGATATAAATAAAACAACAACAGCAACAATTATTATTATTATTATTATTATTATTATTATTATTAACACTTGCCTGGGTGCAGACAAGTCCACCGCTGCAGTATTTGCCCTGTGTAAAAGCAGCAGGACTTTGCACTCTGTGTTGTAAGTTGACACCTTTTTAAAAATAAATCACTAAAACAGGCCATTCTGGTGTTTTTGACATCCTTCTTTGGTATCCCTGCACCAAACCAGTCACACAGGCCCTCCTTCCGGCCTGCGGTTCAGAGTACCAGCCAGGCTTGAGACAGAATCCTGTCTGAAGCCCTGGAGAGCCATTGCTTCTGGTCTGTGCAGGCAGTACTGGGTTAGATGGACCCAAGGGTCTGACTCTGAATAAGGCAGCTTCCTATGTAAATGGGACAGCCATGGGAGAAGCCAGTTTGCCTGAGGTCATTGGTCCCAGTGGTGTAGTGGTTAGGAGCAGTAGTCTCGTAATCTGGGGAACCGGGTTCGCGTCTCCGCTCCTCCACATGGAGCTGCTGGGTGACCTTGGGCCAGTCACACTTCTCTGAAGTCTCTCAGCCTCACTCACCTCACAGAGTGTTTGTTGTGGGGGAGGAAGGGAAAGGAGAATGGTAGCCGCTTTGAGACTCCTTAGGGTAGTGATAAAGCAGGATATCAATTCTAAACTCATCCTCCAATCTTCACCTTGGCATTTGCCCCTTTGATTTCTCCAGGGAAAGTGGAGGTGCTCAATGCTCGTGAGAGGGCCCCGCAGAATATCTCTGGCAATTTGATGGCTGAGTGCAGTAAGAAGGGTTTTCCAGGTAAGAAGAGTCCTTGTATATAAAAAAGGCTGAGGGGAGGAGGGTTGTGAGGGAGGGGCAGCTCCCCCCACTGCTCACAGGTGACGACTGAGTCATTCCCTTGAAGAGGAGAAGGATCCCTTTAAGAGGAGAAGTATTGAGGCCTCCACCCCATTTCTGGTCAATGGCCCTTGTGCCGCAAGACCACAAGGTCTCCTGACCAAGGGATAGCTCGGTTGGTAGAGCATGAGACTCTTAATCTCAAGGACATAGGTTTGAGCCCCACACTGGGCAAAAGATTCCTGCATTGCAGGGGGTTGGACTCGAAAAGGGGTCAGCAAACTTTTTCAGCAGGGGGCCAGTTCACTGTCCCTCAGACCTTGTGGGGGCCAGACTATATTTTTTGGGGGGGAAATGAATGAATTCCTATGCCCCACAAATAACCCAGAGATGCATTTTAAATAAAAACACACATTCTACTCATGTAAAAACACGCTGATTCCAGGACTCGTCCGTGGGGCGGATTTAGAAGGCAATTGGGCCGGATCCGGCCCCCGGGCCTTAGTTTGCCTACTCATGACCTACACAATATTCAGGGACCGGTCCACTGTCCCTCAGACCTTGTGGGGGACCGGACTATATTTTTTGGGGGAAAGAAAAGAACAAATTCCCATGCCCCACAAATAACCCAGAGATGCATTTTAAATAAAAACACACATTCTACTCTTGTAAAAACACGCTGATTTCCCGGACTGTCCACAGGCTGGATTTAAAAGGCGATTGGGCCGGATCCAGGCCTCAGGCCTTGATTTGCCTACCCATGGCTAGATGATGCTTAGGGTCCCTTCCAGTTCTACAGTTCTATGATTCTATGATGCCAAGCTGTCATCAGCAAGCATAAGGACTAAGTCCTCCTGCTCTGAAGCACAACTGAGATCCCCAGGTTTTCCTTACAGGCTGGCAAGGAGTTGAGCCACAGTCTTATTTGGAGCCAGAGAATTGTCCCAGAGCTCCCATTTGGTAACTGCAGTGAGGAGGAAGGCGCCTAGAAATGGAACCTTTGTGGGGAAGCTGTAAAATGACGCATCTGGTTTGCTTCAAAGTAGGGTCTCGGTGGATCGCTGTCCCTGGGGAACTGCGTGGTTATGAAGAAGCCCACAGACGGTACGGCAAATTGCCCTGGAAGACCCTGTTTGAGCCCACCATCAAGATCCTCGACCCTGGAATCCGGATCCCCGAGGTGCTGGGTCGGTTTCTCAGCCACCCCTTCATACAGCCGTATCTGAACAAAACGGCCTTAAGGTACAAGAAACCTGCACAAAGTCAGATCACACCTGTGGGATAGAAATGCGTAAGATCGAACCCATCTAGTCCAGCATTCTGTTCTTACAGTGGGCAGCCAGATGCCTCTGGGAAGCCCCTTCCCCAACCAGGAGCCAGCCCTCTCCCCCTGGATCCTTGGTTTCAGAACTGTTGGCAAATGGGGACAATGAGAGTCTCTTGCTGGCAAAGTCTTCAGCACAAAGGACAGCAGCCCTGGGCTCCATACTATCCCTGCTGTAAGGGCTTTTCTCACTGGGGTCCTTGATTCCAAAAGGAGGGGAGGAGGTCAAAGGGCACAGCAGCCCAAAGCTTCTTTGGTGGCTCCCAGTGGGAAGAAGGCCCTGGAAGAGCCCTTGGCAAAAGTTTTGGGTGTTGTGGTGGAGGGCAGGCAGTGGGGGAAGCCAATGCTGAGGGTGACTCTAGTAGCCTCTGTGCCCTTCGAAACACACCTCATGTTAGACCAGGAAGAGAGAGAGAGAGAGAGAGAGAGAGAGAGAGAGAGAGACCATCAAAAGTTAGTCCTAGTGCCCTACTGAACTGAATATGCAAGTTGCATTGAGACTGACAATCTGCATGGATACCCCTGCAGTGTAAGGTAAAGGTAAAGGGACCCCTGACCATTAGGTCCAGTCATGGCCGACTCTGGGGTTGCGACGCTCATCTCGCTTTATTGGCCGAGGGAGCCGGCGTACAGCTTCCGGGTCATGTGGCCAGCATGACTAAGCCACTTCTGGCGAACCAGAGCAGCACACGGAAACACCGTTTACCTTCCCGCTGGAGTGGTACCTATTTATCTACTTGCACTGTGACGTGCTTTCGAACTGCTAGGTTGGCAGGAGTTGGGATCGAGCAATGGGAGCTCACCCCGTCGTGGGGATTCAAACCGCCAATCTTCTGATCAGCAAGTCCTAGGCTCTATGGTTTAACCCACAGTGCCACCCACATCCTTAGGACCCCTGCAGTGTAGAACAGTACAAATGTGGCCTTTGAGATGGTGGTCAGGAAATCGTCAGAGCAAGAAAGCTAAATTGGAAGTTAAATCGCTCCAGGCTTAAGGCTTTGGGGAAGGGCTATGGAGCCCCCCCCCTTTTTTTGCCTTCCTTCACAGCTGGTTATATTTGGGTCTTAGGAGCCATTCCTGCTGCAGCCTCTGCTCTTAGAATCCAGAGTCAGGAACTGATGGCGGTCACTCTCTCTTTCAGAAAACTCTTTTACAACAAGCAGGGGGCCGCCCTGGGAGCTGGAGACCTCCTTCGATGGCCAGCCCTGGTGGAGACCCTGAGGGCTGTGGCAGAAAAAGGAGCCAATGAGTTTTATCGGGGAACCACAGCAGAGAAGTTGGTGCAGGACATAGTGAAAGAAGGTGACCAGTCTTTTTTTAAAATTATTATTGTTGTTGTTGTTGTCATTATTTTATTTATGATTTTCAGTTTTATACATTTCAATAATTTTATAATCATTTTAACATTTCAAAACTCGACCTCCTTCCCCCTCTTTCTGCGGTTCATTAAATTTATTTTTAAAATCTTCTGCATATCCAAATTAACTTAATTTGCTCATTTATTCAACTACTTTAAATATATATATACTTTTATAAAACTGCAGGTTATTACAGTAAATCTGCCAATATTCTTATCTGTTTACAGTTTATTTGCAAATATTCAACAAACCATTTCTTCAGTTGGGACCGTGCTCGTTTTCCATTTGGGGGCTAACAGAACACGGGCCGCAGTGTTAGCATACATAAATAACCTTTTCTTTTCTTTTTTTTGACACCTGGGAATTTCAGTCTGAATTATCCCCGACAGAAAGGACTCTGGTTTTTGCTTTCCTTTATCTGCCCTGCTGAGAAGGGTGCAAGCAGATTTTCCAATACCTTGGAAAACATTACTGATTCCACAGCAGCCTAATCAGAATTTGGCACCCCGTTCCCTTTTCCAGATCCGTCCCAGCCCTCGCTTTGCCGCCTCACTCTTGCAAGTGACACTTGTAGGCTGTTTCCCCCTCCCCACTCCTTCCTTCCATTGTCCCCTTCCTCTCCTGGGATGGCAGCTGCCAGGGAAGGAGTCCCAGCTCCCTTTGCTGTGTAAGCCTCCCCTCCCCACTCCTTGAGAAGGAACCACATTCCCTCCTTAGCGTCAGGGGTCACTGAGACTTCCTGCAAGCAGTTCCTCTCATTTGCGCTCGGGATTTGAGCTATTTTCTGCCCCTGCTGCAGCTCAGATAAGGCCTGACACATCTTCCTCTTGTTTTCCAGGCAGCGCCTTGTCCCTGAGAGACCTCAGGGATTACCGAGTAGAAGTGATGAGCCCTGTGAACATCTCCCTGGGTGAATACACTGTGTACTCTGCCCCGCGTCCTGCAGCGGGGCCCATTCTCCTATTTATCCTCAATGTCCTCAAAGGTAAATGAGGGGTCCATTTGGTTCACTGCATATCAGGAATGGGGAGATTCTGGCTCTGCGGTGCTGCTGTGTGGGTGGAGAAGGGGAGAGTGGCAGAGACACCACCAAAAAACACTGCAGACCAGGAGAAGAGGAGGCCCCTGGACCACTTCCTTCAGTAACTCTCATTTGGCAGCTTCAATCTGATGCCCTTTCAACCTCCTTTAGCCTTGGGCAATGATCCAACAGTTATACTTTATCTTCACAATCTGAATTTCAGGAACCAAAATGCCTTTTCTGTGCAGCCTGAGCAGGAGCAGTGAATGACATTATATTTGCTTGTCATAACTTGTCTTCACTTACCCCAACCCCCACCATAGCTGTCAACCGTCCCTTATTTGGCGGGAAACTCTCTTATCCCAGCGCTGTGTCCTGCTGCTGTCCCTTATTGATGATGTCCCTTAAATTTCCCAGGTTTCAAAGGAAGCAGCTCCTCTCCCTCCCTCCCTGCCGGCCAGGGAGGCGGGAGGCTCCAACTGTGTTGCTTGGCTGCGTTGCTCACCCAATAAGGAGTCTAAGAACGACTGGGGGTGGAGCTTGCATGCCTTGTGCTGATCAAATCAGCCGCGTTGCCTGGGGACTCGTCTTTGCTCAGTGCTTCCCAGCGGAGAGGTGACAGTGGTTTTCCTTGCTGCATCCCCTTTGCTGGGTTGCTGCGCTGTGGGAACCACCGCTTGAGGCTTTGTTTGGCTGCTGGCTGGGCTTTCTGCCTTTGGCTCAGAGGGGCTCAGAAGTTGAACATACCTGTGCTCCGAAAATCCCTTATTTTGGCTGCTGATCCCTTATTTTTGAGGATGCTGGTCCCTTATTTTTGAGGATGCTGGTCCCTTATTTTCAAATCTGTAAGTTGACAGCTATGACCCCCACGGCTGTGTGAAGAATCTTGTAATGAATGGTCTGTGTCACCATTAAGAAAAAGAGGTCGGAATAGGCCAATAGATATGTGGACTGTTCCCTGGACCAAGTGCCTTTTCTTCTTTAAGTTCTCAAGAGCTCTTAACCTAGCTCAAAGTTGTCACCTGAACTAGCCAGACGTTTAACCAAGAATCAATGCGAAGTGTAGGTGGGTTCCTACGAGGGAAGACACAGTGATAACAGCAAAAACCTTTATTGAACTACGTAACTGGGAAACAGAGGCAAAGCAACTGCTTATATAACATTTCTGAAAGCCTAGGCCACTCCCACTCCCAACGTGATTGGCTGTCTAAACTTCCAAACTGCAAATCACGACTCAGAGTCCAAGGTCCAATGGCAGAGGCCCAAATCCTGAAATGTTCTGTGTATCGAATCAGAACACAGGAGCTCAGAATCCCTAATCCAGACTTAAGCTCAGGCAAACACAGACCACTGAATACGTAAGACAATCACAGCCACTCAATCCTTTGAAAAAATAATACTTACCCCAAAATGGCAAGTAGACATTCTGTTTTGGCAATTGTAGCCTTGGTTTAAGGAGCCATTTGGTGCCTATCTGAGTTTCTAACACAGCCAAGGGTCATTCCCTGGATCTCAGAAGAGCGCCGCAGAGTCCTTTCTGCTCTTCCTTAGGCCTGGGTGCTCAGAGCTAGCTATTCCTGACTTCCAGGTTTCAACTTCACCAAAGAGTCCATGAGCACACCTAGCCAGAGTGCTGAGACTTACCACTACATCGCAGAAACTCTGAAGTTTGCCAACGGCCAGAGAGTAAAAGTGGACGACCCAGTTTTTTCCCGAACTGGAAAGGTGGGTGATCTGGGAGCCTGTCGGTCTTCATCCTTTTTAAAAGCTTTGTTGCCTTATTTTTTTTGGGGGGGGGAATCTATAGTGCCCCCCTTCCAATGGTTCCAGATAATCATTAATATATATATATATATGTACATCTAGAGCTGCCTTGGTCAACCTGGTGCCCCCCAGATGTTTTGGACCGCAACTCCCATCTGCTGATGGTTGATGAGGGTTGTAGTCTGAAAGGAATCAGATAAGAACAGGGATATTTTTCAGCCGGAATTTACTGGAACTCAGGTGGACTCCATTGCCATTGTAAGAGAACAAGGAAAGAGTTCATGGAGAGTCCTGGCACGTCTTTCTTCTAGAAAAAAGCACTGGATAAGAATGTAAGGAACTCTGGAGCTTCATGCCATCCTCATCTAGCATGGATAAATGAGTCTCTTCATGCTTCCAAAAGACAGGGTTTGGGGCTTTGGTTTTGTCTGGACCGCAAGGGGAGGGAGTTTTGCAAATTTGGACAGAGTTGAGGGGCAGCTGCTGTGGAGAGAAGACAAGAGGGGGAAACTCTCTTCTTTGCTCATAATTGCAGAGCTGTGCAGGCAGCTGATGCCTCAGCATTCTGTCATCATGAAGCCCAAATATTCTAGTTATCATAAAATTGAGATCAAGCAGGTGCCTTCACTGTACTCTTTTTGGCGCCTGGTAAGAACGTTCTTGTTTAGGTGAGCCTACCCAGAGGCTTGGAAAGTTGAGGTAATGTTAACCTGTTTTAGCATTTTAACTTTTGTTTTTACAATCAAGCCGTGTGTACGTACAGCATATATAATAATAGAATCAAGACATTTTCCGTTTCAGCAATTCAATTTCACAATCTGATTTCTGATATAGAATAGCTTTCAATCGTTTTGCCTGTTGGGATGTGAATCGAAGCTAGGAGAGGATATATTTATGAGCTGTTATCCTTCCTTCCTCACGTTTGTGAGTTCAGCATCGTGCCATCCCTTTACAGCTTAAAACAGAAAGCTTAGATAGGCTAGTTTCATCCAATACAGGTTGCTTTGAGGCAGACTGGATTCTCCTCTTATTTCCCTCTTTCCTCACCATTAGAACAATAACCACACAAACAAGTCTTGTTAAAAAAACCTCACCATTTACTCACTCAGAATACTTGCTAAAAAGTAACTGGCACAGCAGCTTTGTTCAGGCGGGCTTAAAGTGGTCATTTAATTACAAAGGCATACTTAAGTCTAGCTCATGGGTTGGCAGACTAAGGCTCAGGGGCCAAATCCAGCCCAATTGCCTTCTAAATCTGGCCCACAGATGGTCCGGGAATCAGCATGTTTTTACATGAGTAGAATGTGTCTTTTTATTTAAAATGCATCTCTGGGTTATTTGTGGGGCCTGCCTGGTGTTTTTACATGAATAGAATGCGTCCTTTTATTTAAAATGCACCTCTGGGTTATTTGTGAGGCATAGGAATTTGTTCATATTTCCCCCCAAAATATAGTCCGGCCCCTCACAAGGTCTGAGGGACAGTGGACTGGCCCCCTGCTGAAAAAGTTTGCTGACCCCAGGCATAGGGTGCTGGGGATGAGTTTATGGAAGATGGGGGGCAATGGGCTGAAAAAGTTTGGGAGCCAGTGGGCAAGACAGGTAAATAGCTGCTTTTTCTGCAGCTGAAGATAAGCACTGCAAGACGTTGCGTCCTGCAGTTTACATTCCTATCCCACGGAGCCCAGCTTTGACTTTTCCAGAGGGCACCATTCCTCCTTTGCGGCTGAGGCTATCAGGACCTGCCTCACTGAGATGCGCTGTGTTTTTTAGGATGTCTTGAGCGAGCTGATCTCGGACTCCTTTGCTAGCCAAGTCAGGCAGCAGATCGATGAGCGAGGAGACCACCCAGCATCCCACTACGACTCTGCCCAGGTGGGAAGGACCTCGTTTGGCACTTCCCACGTTTCCGTCCTGGCTGAAGATGGGAGCGCCGTGTCAGCCACCAGCACCATTAACTACCCGTAAGTAGGAGCGGGTGAGCCCCAAGGGCAAAGGCGGGACAGAAGCTTCTTCTGTGCTTTCTCCCAAAGCACATAGCTGTCAACCGTCCCTTATTTGGCGGGAAAGTCCCTTATCCCAGCGCTGTGTCCCGCTGCTGTCCCTTATTGATGATGTCCCTTAAATTTCCCGGGTTTCAAAGGAAGCAGCTCCTCTCCCTCCCTCCCTGCCGGCCAGGGAGGAGGGAGGCTCCAACTGTTTTGCTTGGCTGTGTTGCTCACCCAATAAGGAGTCTAAGAATGACTGGGGGGGTGGAGCTTGCATGTCTTGTGCTGATCAAATCGGCCGCATTGCCTGGGGACTCGCCTTTGCTCAGCACTTCCCAGCGGAGAGGTGACGGTGATTTTCCTTGCTGCATCCCCTTTGCTGGGTTGCTGCGCTGTGGGAACCACCGCTTGAGGCTTTGTTTGGCTGCTGGCTGGGCTTTCTGCCTTTGGCTCAGAGGGGCACAGAGGTTGAACATATCTGTGCTCCGAAAATCTCTTATTTTGGCTGCTGATCCCTTATTTTCGAGGCTGCTGGTCCCTTATTTTCAAATCTGTAAGTTGACAGCTATGCCAAAGCAGGGCCTCCAGACAGCCCCCTTTATTGCAATAATTTCATGCGCTGGAAGTTTCCCTGTCTGAAACTCTGGAGATCCATTTCTATCAGTCAGTGCAGAAAACATGGAGCCTTATGGACCAACGATTTAACTCTGTGCTTCCTATTTAAATCAGACCTTAATTCAGAACCACCTGGTTGGCCACTGTAAGAAGATGCTAGACTACATGAGCGTAGCCAGGATTTTTTTTGGGGGGGGCAGGATTTTTTAAGGGGGCAGACCCTTAAATTTGTATTGATTTTGATTGATATAGGGGGCAGTCCCCCCCTTGCTTATGCCCATGCTGGACTAGATGGGCCTTTGGCTTGATCCTTGAGGCAAGCTCTCCGTGTGCCCTGAGGACTAGAATCTTGTTTTAATTTTAGGGGAAGGGCCATAGCTCAGCGGCAGAGCATTTGCACAAAAAGGCCCCAGGTCCAATCCCCAGCCATATTTCCAGGCAGGGATGGGGAGAGACCCCTGTCTGAAATGCTGAATTGCTGCCGGTCAGTGTTGGGAATATGGAGTTAGATGGACCAATGGTCTGACTCAAAATAAGGCACCATCCTACGTTCCAACTGCTGGGCTGTGGGAGGCAGAGAGCGGGATGCCTTCTCCATGGTTCCTGGCCCTCTTGCAGGGACAGAGGTCTGGCAATCTTCCTGTTTTAATTCCTACAGAAGGATAAGAAAATATTTTTATTAACAATTTCAACATACAAACTATCAAAACATATCATATTCACTATTATTTTTTCCCTCCCCCCCCTTCAAACCATAGCTGTCAACGTTACCCTTTTCTTAAGGGAAATTCCTTTATTCCAAATAGGATTCCTCACAAGAAAAGGGAAAAGTTATGCTTCAAACAGTTATGCTTCAAACCCTCCGCCCCCCCGACTTCCCTCAACTCCTCTCTCTGATTTCTCAGCACATATTGTTCTCTGCATGTTATAAAATTATACATATCCTTACGTTATCTATCTGTCATGTTATCAACCAATAAATTTGTGTATGTTTATTCAAAATCTGCCAAGGAGTCCAGTTCATTTTGTTGTCTTTTTAGATACTTTGTAAAAGGCTCCCGTTCTTCCTTAAAGTCACAGTTGTCCCGCAGTTTGTATGTCAATTTAGTCAGTTCTGCATAACTCATCAATTTTTCTTGCCACTGAGAACTGTGTCCCTCTTCTCTCCCCATGCTCAGGTTTGGCTCCATGGTGTATTCGCCACAGACTGGGATCATCTTAAACAATGAACTCGCTGACTTTTGCATGAAGAAGTCAAGTGACAGGATCTCACCAGGTGAGCTCCACCTCTGCTGGGAAAGCCCATCGCAAGCACAAATGCTGGGCAGGAGGGAATGCATGGATAATAATAATAATAATAATAATAATAATAATAATAATAATTTATTTATACCCCACCCATCTGGCTGAGTTTCCCCAGCCACTCTGGGTGGCTCCCAATCGAGTGTTAAAAACAATACAGCATTAAATAATAAAAACTTCACTAAACAGGGCTGCCTTCAGATGTCTTTTAAAAATAGGATAGCTGCCTATTTCCTTCACATCTGAAGGGAGGGCGTTCCACAGGGCGGGCGCCACTACCAAGAAGGCCCTCTGTCTGGTTCCCTGTAACCTCACTTCTCACAATAAGGGAACCGCCAGAAGGCCCTCGGCGCTGGATCTCAGTGTCCGGGCTGAACGATAGGGGTGGAGACGCTCTTTTAAGTATACTGGACCGAGGCCGTTTAGGACTTTAAAGGTCAGCACCAACACTTTGAATTGTGCTCGGAAATGTACTGGGAGCCAATGCAGATCTCTCAGGACCGGTGTTATGTGGTCCTGGCGGCCACTCCCAGTCACGAGTCTAGCTGCCGCATTCTGGATTAATTGCAGGATGGATGGATGGATAGATGAATGGATGATAGAAGAGTCTCAATGGGGGTTGATTGGATTCCAGGACACCTCACCCACACCCTGAAGAAAAAGGAGATCAAATTGGCTGTGGATCTTCTTTCGGCTCATTAACCTAAAGGTGCAAAGATTTCTCTCCAACAATAAGGAGAGAGAGAAAAAAATAATTATTGAGAATTATAGGGACAGAACTACCTAAATTGTATAAAATTTATTCATGTATGCTACTTGCTACTTGCCCAAAAATGGAAAGAAGAAGAAGTCCCAGCAAAGGAAGAATGGATACAAAAACTTATGGAATATGCAGAAATGGTGAAACTTACCAGGAGAATATTAAATCAAGATAGCAAACTTTTTAAAATAAAAGAATGGAAATGGTTTGTTGAATATTTACAGATAAATTGTAAACAGATAAAAACACTGGCAGGGTTATTGTAATAACCTGCAGTTACGTAAGAGTATACAGTGGTACCTCAGGTTAAGTACTTAATTCGTTCCGGAGGTCCGATCTTAACCCGAAACTGTTCTTAACCTGAAGCACCACTTTAGCTAATGGGGCCTCCTGCTGCTGCGTGCCGCCAGAGCACGATTTCTGTTCACATCCTGAAGCAAAGTTCTTAACCCGAGGTACTATTTCTGGGTTAGCGGAGTCTGTAACTTGAAGTGTATGTAACCTGAGGTACCACTGTATATTTAAAGAAGATAAATAAATAAGTTAACTTATGCAGAACTTACGGATATGCAGAAGATATTAAAAATAAATTTAAGGAACTGCAGAAAGCGGGGGAAGGAAGTCAAGTTTTGGAATGTTAAAATGATTGTAAAATCAGTGAAATGTATATATCTGAAAAGCATAAATAAAATTTAGAGAGAGAGAGAGAGAGAGAGAGAGAAATAATAATATCCAAATGCACAAGGTGAGGTTTTTCCTCTCTGTTTTAAAAGTGACTGTATAGGTTGCTCACCCTCCCATTTCTTGGTGCCCCCACCTATAGGAGAGATGCCCCCTTCTTCCATGACACCATCCATCCTCATTTCCCGCGATGGGCAGTCAAAGCTGGTGGTCGGAGGGTCAGGCGGGCAACTCATTATCCCTGCTGTCGCGCTGGTAAGTTGACAAAAAAACTGGATTCCTGGCTTTAGCATGGAGAGCTGAAGCTGCACAGTTAACACCTGTGAAATCTGTCCTTTTGCTTTCTGATTTGTCCTGGGGAAAATGGCTTAAGTTTTGTTTTGAAAAGGTAGACTGCCTCTGGACTTGGAGGCTTGATTGAACTCTCGTGGTCAGCATCTGTTGCTATTTATTTGTTCACTTATTTGTTTATTGCATTTATAACACACCCTTTTCTCCAAGGAGCTGAAGGTGGCATATATGGTTCACCTCCCACCCCCGCCATTTTATCCTCACAACAATCCAGTGAGGTAGGATGGGCTGAGAGGGGCAGTTACTGTCCCAAGGTCACCCTAGTGAGCTTCATGGCCGAGTCGGGATTCGAAACCTGGTCTCTCCCAGGTGCTGGTGCCACACTTTAATAATAATAATAATATTAATAATAATTTATTATTTATACCCCGCCCATCTGGCTGAGTTTCCCAATCCACTCTGGGTGGCTCCCAATCAAGTATTAAAAACAATACAGCATTAAATATTAAAAACTTCCCTGAACAGGACCGCCTTCAGATGTCTTTTAAAGATAGCATAGCTACTTATTTCCTTCACATCTGAAGGGAGGGTGTTCCACAGGGTGGGCGCCACTACCGAGAAGGCCCTCTGTCTGGTTCCCTGTAACCTCACTTCTCGCAATGAGGGAACCGCCAGAAGGCCCTCGGCGCTGGATCTCAGTGTCCGGGCTGAACGATGGGGGCGGAGACGCTCCTTCAGGTATACAGGACCGAGGCCGTTTAGGGCTTTAAAGATCAGCACCAACACTTTGAATTGTGTTCGGAAACGTACTGGGAGCCAATGCAGATCTCTCAGAACCGGTGTTATGTGGTCCCGGCGGCCACTCCCAGTCACCAGTCTAGCTGCCGCATTCTGGATTAATTGCAGTTTCCGGGTCACCTTCAAAAGTAGCCCCACGTAGAGCGCGTTGTAGTAGTCCAAGCGGGAGATAACTACACCACTACACCACACTGTCTGCCTGCTGCGAGACTTCTCTTCCATGAACATGTCTAAAGCCAAGCTGCTCCTTCTCTTGCAGACCATCGCTAACAAGCTGTTTTTTGGGTATGATGTGGACAAAGCTATCAAGGCACCGATTCTCTTCGTGAACAGCAGCTACGGCATCGAAGTAGAGAAATCCTTTGACAAGGTGAGACTTGTGAGCAGCTCTCTGGGGTCGCAAGGGGAGCCATGAGACAGAGGCGTAACTCCAACATGTCCCAGAAGAAAACTGGCACACAGGTCTCTGGGGGCTGTGATCTCACAAGACAGCACACCCCCCCTCCAAAATGGGGCATCCCTATTAAATCGGGACAGTTGAGGGGTATGTCAGTGATTGCCACAAGTCCTGCAGCGTGCAAAACATAAAGCGACAGCCCTGTGCCAGTTTTTAGCTCTGCGCTGCGGACTACAACTCCCATCAGCCCCAGCAAGCACAACTAGGCTCTCATCACCTCCTGTGTCATATGACCAGTCTGGCTGGGGCTGATGGGAGTTCTAGCTCCTGGGGGAGCCTGCTGTACAGATCCCAGAGTCAATCCCTGGCGGCAGCATCTCCAGGAAAGGTTGGGAATGGCCCGTGGGCATGAAATCTTGGGAGAGTCACTGCTGCGAGTTGGCAGCAACAATATTGAGCTAGACGGTGTTAGAATTCCTGCTCCATGATTGCAGTCATGGGATTTTCGTCTATCACATGACAGTATGTGTTTTGGCTCCACAGAGTGGGAAGTGACAGAGACAGGATGTTTGTGTTACTGTGTTCCATGAAGTGGGACTCTTGTCCTTTGCTCTTTCTCTTTGCTATCTGATGCTAGAGAGAGAGGGAGCCATGTTGCAGTGCAAATGTAAATACTTTATGTAAATAAAGTAGATTAGCCAAAATGCTGAGCTGCTGAGGTCTGTCATGCAAGCTGCGAAGACTCTGCGGATCCCTAAGTGTGCTGGTGTCTGCTGGCATCAGTCGCTGTGATGTTCGGGCTGAAGAAAGCTTTTGAAGCTCCCGAATGATTGACCAGGAGGGAGAGAACATGCCAGTTGGGCATGTGTCTCTGCCAGGGTCCTACTCGAGTGTAGGACGAGCTCCTGACAGACAGACCACTAATTTGGCTTTGCCTAAGGAAGCTTCCTATGTTCAGAGTGATGCCTGTATTTCCTCTACCCTCCTCCTCTTCTTTTCCTTGCAGAGTGTTGAGGCGGCACTGAAGCAAAAGGGCCATGCGGTGAAGACGATACAATGGAGCCTGAACGTGGTGCAAGCTGTTTCTAAGGACGGCCCCTGCCTCTTCCCCTACTCGGATCTAAGGAAAAATGGCCAAGCCTCTGGCTATTAGTAGCTCAGCTGCTATTTGGCCTGAGGCAAAGCCAGAGTCTGCCTGCCTGCCTGCCCCTCTGCACTCTCTCAGAGCAGCTGCTACAGCTTTGCAGCCACTTCTGGGTCTGAAAAAAACATGAACTTGTTGCAGCTGGATCCCTCCATCACATATTTCTTTTTCTCGGGGAGAGAGACAGACAGACAGACAGACAGACAGACAGACAGACAGAGAGTGAGAGGTGTTTACAAGAGCAGTGCTATACTGTAGAAGAACTGAGCCAAAAAACAGCCCTTGCTTTTGCTGCAGCCTGAGAGTGCAAGACGGACCTTCACCTCTCTCACCAGCTCCTAGCACCTTCTGTCCAGGCTATGTGTCGAGATCCAAGGAAGATGGGCAGCCTCGCAGGGAAGAGAAGCTGGCATGAGTGTGTGGCAGACAAGAGAAAACCATTTGCCAGCATTTGCCGCTCTGTGAAAGATCTGGGTTGTGGTGGCAGCAGCAGCTGGTGGCAAAGGACCTGCCTAAGGATATTTTCTGCAGGCAGGCATGCAGGCAGTGAGTTCCTTCCCCGGATAATGCGATGGTTCTGGCTCCTCAGAGGAGGAGCCAGCCTGCAGATTTCATGATGCCGGAGGCTGCAAAGTGCTGGGGACGAAGCTTGCCTCATCAGCCCACAGCCAGAAAATGAAAAACGCCTCTTTGACCCTTTGGCAGCAAACTCCCAAGAGCGGACACTTGGTAGACTCTTTCCCTGCATGGGATCACAAGTGCTCCGGGTGAAGAGAGAGCTGCTCGATGCAACAGCTAGAGCAGGCAAGATCAGCAGCTCCAAATTGTGTTTAGGGGTGTGTGTGCAGAGGGCATTGTTGATGCCAAGCCAGGAGCTTCATTCAGCAAAAGGACAGCTGTGCAGGATTTGTGTTTTCTTCTTCGTGCAAGTTTGACGTGCAGAGTTCTATATTTTTTAATAAATGAATTGTCTCCTTTTATATATAGTCCAAATCTCTGAGTTCCTAGCTCAAGCTTTTAGCTGCCCCCTGCCCCAATTTTACCACCCCCACATCCGGACTTACTGTAGACCAAGAGGGACTGGAGTGGGAGGGCACCCTCCTCACTTGGGTTCAATTTTGCTGTTTCTGAAACTGCCCCTGATAAGGTGTCAGGCTTCAGGGACTCGGCTCCCTCCTCAACCCCTTTGGCAGTAGATAAGCAGAACAAAGAGAAAGGAGTCTCTTACCAGTTAAGAGATTTTAATGAACACAGCGAGAGAACAACGCATCTATTCTTTGGAATGATGGTGCTCCCAATTAAGGTTTCCACCCACTTCTCCTCTGGTCATCCACGGCACTTCCGCATCCTGCAACCTAATCTCGCAACCACTGTGCCTTATGTGCGGCCACCTTATCTGCCCTCCTTGACCTTGGGCTGATCGGATGGACGCTTTCTAGCAACATTGAGTCTGTTAACTCTCTCTCTCCCAGTTCTTCCTCTCCTAACTGTTCACCCCCCAGTTCTTCCCAACTTCTGTCTTTTGAACTATGTCCCTCTGCCAACCACTACTCCAAATCTATACTATCCTGGGAAGATTCAGGATCCTAATTAGGAGCAGGGGGAGGGAGAGGCTCCCACCATTCCTCCTCAGGGCCACACAGTCCGTGACAAGGATGGAGAGAGGGGCGTTTCTCAAACTGGAGGGGGGGCATCACAGGCCATTTCTTCTGGCTTTGATGCATACACCTTCCGATGCAGCAAAATATGTACAAAAACATTTGGGGGAGGCCACCATTAACTGTGAGCCACCCCAGGGGTAGTGAGGCCATTCTTTCTTCAGGCGTTAAACTGAGACCCGGCTAACCTTAAAAGCTTTCGCCATCTTTACACAAACCTTCTTCATTATTAAAGTCAAAAAATGGTTTTCAGCTGAGTTGCCCACAGTGTTCCAGCTCTCTAGTTGACAGTCCCAGTCCCACTAAAAACCAAAACCTTCTTCACAATGCTCTTGGCTTTGATGGGCCTCTTTAAGTTTTCCCAAATGAAACAGCTGTTTCTGTTGTCTTATTTTTTTATAGAACAGTAGAAGGAGAACAGACGCTTGGGACTAAAAAAAGAAAAGAAAAGAAAATTCCAAGTAAAATATTCATTTTTATTGTTAGAAGTTTGGCCAAAGACAACTTGTCATCCTCCTCCAGATGACTTTGCAAGGGGGCAGGATCTAACCCTTTGGCATTGTCAACATCCCCAGATATTCCCACTGGGGGGAAATCCACATAAAAAGGCATTTTGGTCTGAAAGCTGTAACCGTCCAACACTAAAAACAAAACAACATTTTACTAAATGTGGTGGACTAAGATTATACCTGAGAACCAGTTAAAATTTTTTTAATTACCCTAATTTAAAAAAAAAAACCTGATGTTTGGCAGAGTGTTTACTTCCTGAACCAGCAGCTGAAGATTCTCTCCACTTCTGTTAATGCTTTTCAGTTTCTGAACGCATCAAAATCAACCACAGTTCAATGACCGCTCAGTCAACTCAGGCAGACCAGTTTAAATGCTGTTTCTTGTAAGATGGGAGATGTTGTAGCTGAGGTGACTGTTCTCATCGCAATCCTTTCCCCCCTTTGCTCCTAAGTTAATCAGGAAGACCCTCAAATCCATCCTATTTATTTGGTGACAATATCTGACAGGCCAAAAAAGAGTTTCATTGTGGTGGTGAGAATGAGAAAGGAGATAACCCTTGCTGCCTCTCATAGATCTTTCCTCAAGTGAACCATTTCAGACCAGGGCAATTTTCAGAACATCATCCTCATGGAAGCAGGCCCTTTCGTGGTGGCTTTCTCCATTCGTCATAACCAATATATGAATTTCCTCTAATGCCATGATGACTGGGGCAGTATAGATCAATGGTTGGAGGTTACTTCCTGGTTTCTGAAACATCTCAGAGGCATGGGATTTGCTGCTGATGTGTGATCCACCACAGCACAATACAGGTGGACTTGTTTCAGTGGGTCGCCAGAAGAAACTGATCAATCTGCAATTATGTCCGTGATCCGTCCAAACTTGGAGCCAGTTTAGTATCCTGCAGGGACTCCCCCCTTCCGAGAGTCTGAGGCAGCCGACCAGCCTTCTTCTGTCCGCAGGATGGCCTGGACCACAGCTCCCCTGCTGGTCCTCTCAATCTCGTGTCCTCTCTTCTTCAATCCATCTTCTATTTCCTGGACACAGAAAGCAGATAAACACACTCACCAAGAATCTGATTTGACTCCTCTCCCCCTTCCCCGCCCAGCAGCTCTCTCTGTTGCCGGCAGTGGCTGAGCCTTGCCTTCCTCAAGACGGCAGCCTCCAGATGTTCTGGACTACAACTCGGAATCACAAGGCCATGCTGGCCAGCAGGGGATGATGGGAGTTGTAGTCAGGAACACCTGAAGGGCACCAGGTTGCGGAATGCAAGGCTAGCAGGTGCCTCTGTGGTCACAGAGCCCTCACTCTCATCCTAGGTGTGCAAGAGGATCTCCCTCAGCTCCAGTCAAGAGGGTCTCAAGTGTGGGAGGTGGCAGGGGCAAGGGGTGGTCTGCTTAGGACCTTGGAGAGCACCAGCCAGGCAGTGCTGGGCTGGCACTTTTTGACTTCTGTGCAATGCACATACGTCATTTATTTATTCAACAAGCTATAATGTAATTCAATATATTTTGTATAATAATAATGATAATAATTTATATATTTAATCAACAAAAACCTCTAAGTGGTTCACATATAAAGCTCTTGACACTTGAGGTGTACGTTTTTCGGCCCTTCCTTGTTTTTTATGGTTGCAAGTTGTTTTAAATTGTTTTAAATATTGTCTTTAATACTGTTGTCTGCTTTAGGACCTTATAGTGAAGAGCGGATAATTAATAATAATAATAATAATAATACACAACAACATATTAATTAAAATATCAATAAAACCAGACTATAGATATAGTGATGATTTTATTTTGATACCTTTTCTGTCAATACGTTTTTGACACAAAATGTATCAAAATAAAACCAGCAATATAGATATAGATGCATAGTAAAATTGTATATTTGTGCATGTGAAATCCCTCCTCCCCTGCACCCATCTTCCTGGGCATCTGGTAAAGGTAGAGTGCCTTGGCCTATGGAGGTTCCATGGCCTCTCAAAAAGACCTAGAATCATCTAAGATGGTGGCCACCTCTGGATCTATACTGTTCATTCACTGTGCATGGTGTGAGCAAATGCACACCAGCAAATGGGCAGGACAGAATTGGGGCGTCGAATGGCAACCTTTACCTCCTACCTTAAACCTGCAACTACACTGCTATAGTCTGTGAATTTTCTTAAAGTGAGCAATATCTGGTCAGCCCTGAAAGCAGAGGCAGGCAAGGGCTGTCGTAGCAGCTTCGTGGTGGAGCAGCTGCTTTGAATGCAGAAGGTTCCAATTTCAATCTGCCGTCGCAGCATGTCCAGGTAAGGTCTGAGACTATCTCCTGTCTGAAACCGGTGCTGTCTATCAGTGTGTACAGTGCTGAGCGGGATGAACACCAATGGCTGGACTCAATGGCCCAAGGCAGCTCCCTGAGCAGACCTGATGTTCTCAGTTCTTCATTCCCACCCTTCCCCTCTTCGAGGCAGACCGACCTGCTCCACCTCATTCTCCAGGACGGTGAGGGAAGGGAAGAGCTGGTTGTGGATGCGGGGCTCCTCCACCGCCTCCTTAATGTTGTAGCCGAACCAGAGGGAGCGGAGAATGGTCTGGATGAGGAGAAAAAGAAGGCACCCCAGGTAGAGCACGAAGAAGAAGATTTTGGATTTGATATCCCGCTTTATCACTACCCGAAGGAGTCTCAAAGCGGCTAACATTCTCCTTTCCCTTCCTCCCCCACAACAAACACTCTGTGAGATGAGTGAGGCTGAGAGACTTCAGAGAAGTGTGACTGGCCCAAGGTCACCCAGCAGCTGCATGTGGAGGAGCAGAGACGCGAACCCAGTTCACCAGATTACGAGTCCACCGCTCTTAACCACTACACCACACACACGCAAACGCACAACCATTCCTAGAATGTGGACTCAAAGCAGCTCTCTGCCCTGTGTGGGAGACCCTCCCCACATCCACCTCCACAACACGCCCAGCAAAGGCACTTCAAGATGGCCCCAACCAGGCCGACCAGGCTATTTCCTTTCCCACCCTCCATTTTGTTTTACTCCAAAGAGCTCAAAATGGCGCACCACCTTCTCCCTTGAGGGGGACTGGCCCCCAAGCCACTCAGAGAACTTCATGGCCAGCTGGGGGCTGGAACTGAGACCTCAACCACCTCCTAGCCTGACGTCCTAATCATACTGACTCTACCCTAAGGCAATTGAGCCTTCCCAGAGCCCTCCCAAAGAGGTGATTTTAATCGCTAATGCCTTGCCACCACCATGAGAGACATGACCCCACCACCACCCCATGTCTCAATCCCCTTGGCTTCCAGACTAGGCCTCTTCTTCCTCTCATCCATAGTTCTGGGGCAGCAGGGTCTCCTCTGCTGTAGGCCTTGTGGCTGCGATGGACCGCCCAGGGTCCTCCCCTTGCTCCTAAACCTGTTTGGCTTCTCCTCAGCCCACCAACAACCTACCATTGCTGTTGCTGTGGTGATCTTTGTTCCTCCAGAAGCACCGACCACCATCCGGACCTTGTTCTCCTTATCCATTAGGATAGATGGACACATGGAAGAAAAAGGACGCTTCCCTGTCAGGGAGGTGAGCAGTTAGATGGGCATTCCCAGGCCTCGGCCTTGCTAAAAAGCCTGCTTACCCACCAGACCTTAGCAGGAAATCCAGAGGTGGAGGAGACTCGAAGCTGGTGTGAGCCAGAGGGGGTTCGCAGTGTCCTTTGGCCAAGGAAGAAGGGAGCTAGAGAATAAGCGGCCTGCCCTTTGGGCAGGACCACCAGCCAAGCTCTTGCCTAGAGAGTTGGCCAGAATGCAAAGCCCCCAAGAGAGACACCCCAGAGGCCTTACCTGGGGCGATGAAGTTCGCCACAGACGGGTGGACCCCAAAGCCGTTGACGATGTGTGGCGAGCTGAAGTCATCCATCTCGTCATTGAACAGGATGCCACTCACTGGAGAAAGGACGTCTGAGCCAAAACTGAGCCGGACAAGAAAGACAACGTCAGGTCCACTGGTGGTGGAAGAAGGAAACATGGGCTCCAGAAAGAGAGCTGCCTCAGACACAAGCTTGTGGCCAAGGAGAGCCTAAAGAGACACATGTGGTCTAAACCACTCAGCCTCTTGGGCTTGCCAATCAGAAGTTCAGCGGTTCGAATCTGCATGACGGGATGAGCTCCTGTTGCTCTGGCCCAGCTTTTGCCAACCTAGCAGTTCAAAAGCATGCCAGTACAAGTAGTTAAATAGGTACCACTGTGGCGGGAAGGTAAACGGTGTTTCTGTGCGCTCTTGTTTTTGTCACGGTGTTCCGTTGCACCAGAAGCGGTTTAGTCATGCTGGCCACATGACCCGGAAAGCTCTCTGTGGACAAACGCTGGCTCCCTTGGCCTAAAAGCGATATGAGTGCCGCAACCCCATAGTCGCCTGTGACTGGACTTAACCGCCCAGGGGTCCTTTTTACCTTACTAGCATCACCACCTCACAGCAGTTTGGGACACCTGCGCACAAAATGTGTGCTTCTGAGCAGCCCATGAGCCAAAGAGGTCCATGTGGCAGGGAACTGGGCCTGCGTGTGGTCCATAGCTGTCAACGTTTCCCTTTTTTAAAGGGAAATTCCCTTATTCTGAATACGATTCCTCGCAAGAAAAGGGAAAAGTTGACAGCTATGGTCTGGTCCCTCCTCTGGGCTCTTTGGCAGAGTCACCAAACCTGTAGGATGCTGCTTCCCAAACCTTTTCAGACCCCTCCCCCTTGTTTCCATAAACTCATCCCCAGTGCCCCCTACCCTCCGGCACTCCACTGCTGCCCTCTTGCCCCTTAGCCCCCTCCCTAGGTATTCAACCCACCCCCACCCCAGGGAGCAGCATTACACAATTTGGGAACCACTGCTCTAGAAGACGGAGGAACAGCCCATGGCAAGGAGGACTCCTTAGCTACCGTTCATGCCTGGTCTTAAAAACAGCTCTTGCTCCCATCCTTTTGTAGTTACATTATATATATATATATATATATATATATATATATATATATATATGGAAGAGATTAGTATCTCAGAAATGCTGGGAAAGTTTAATGTTCATTATCAGGTTATGCTGAGCTGACATAAACACATATCTCCAATGAAAATAGGGACGTCCTATTCCATAATAAGAATTTTATTATTTATACCCCGCTCATCTGACTGGGTTGCCCCAGCCACACTGGGCAGCTTCCAACACACATAAAACATAATAAAACATAAAATATTTTTAAAAACTTCACTATACAGTGGTACCTTGGTTTAAGAATAGCTTAGTTTATGAACAACTTGGATTAAGAACGTTGCAAACCCAGGAGTAGGTGTTTTGGTTTGTAAACTTTGCCTTGGAAGCAGAGTATGTTGAGTATGATCCATTTGTAAATTGAGTCCTCCGCTGCTATGGAAAAGCACGCTTTGGTTTAAGAACACTTTGGTTTAAGAACGGATTTAGTTTGTAAACCAAGGTACCACTGTACAAGGCTGCCTTCAGAGGTCTTCTAAAGGTTGTATAGTTACTGAGTTCCTTAGCTTGGGGGTCACTTAACTCCATGACCAATGAAAATAGGGACAGCCTACCATACCCTCCAACATTTATCTGATTAAAATAGGGATGGCCTAAGGGAAAGCTGGACATTCTGGGATTAAATCAGAAACCGGAACGGCTTCTGTAAATCTGCAACTGTCCCTGGAAAACAGAGACACTTTGAGAGTCTGTAAACACTCATCCTTTCCAGCATCTCTAAGATAAACTACTCCTTCTTCGTCTTCTTCTTTGCATCATTGGATGCTTCCTGTTTTGTGTGCTACAAACATTCCTCCTGCGTGGAAAAGGATTGGATGCTTAGAAAAAGAGGCTCCTATGTGCACCTGCATACACTCAAGAGCCCGTGGTAAGATTTACAAAATGAACAGATGAAGCGTCTCTGTCCTTGGAAGCAGGTTTGCAGAGAGGGGAGAAAAACTTGGCTTTGATCCGAGTACCTAGAGGGTCTGATTCTTCAGGAAAGTACAAATGGTTTGTGTTTGTTTGGCTGGGTTAGGTTGGGTTTGATTTGCTCCACCACCAATATAACCCAGTGCTGACACCATGTGGAAAATGTTCCATCTGCAACTGCTGTTGGTGAAAGATGTAACCAGCAAGATTTTCCTCCAAAACTATAGGATCGTAGAATTGTAACAGTTGGAAAGGGTGGGACCCAAAGGTTCTTCTGGTTCCAGTAAGAGGATCAGTTCTCCTCCTCACTGCTCCTGACCCAAAGAGAGCTCCTGTGTCTTTGACAATTCTGTGAAGATCAGAATTCTTCCAGGTGAAGTATTTTCTCTCAGACATGAAGCTGTAGTCAGTGCCAGATTTACGTATAACCTAAACAAGCTATAGCTTAGGGCCCCCTCTCTTGGGAGCCCCCCAAAAAATTAAAGGGGAAAAATTGGATGTACATTTCCAAAATATAAGATAAAAAACAAATAAAATAAAACCTACATACAGCAACAGTGTTTTGTGTTGTGTATGGACTAACAAAGGCCCGTATAGTTAAAGCTATGGTTTTCTCAGTAGTGATGTATGGAAGTGAGAGCTGGACCATAAAGAAGGCTGATTGCCGAAGAATTGATGCTTTTGAATTATGGTGCTGGAGGAGACTCTTGAGAGCCCCATGGACTGCAAGAAGATCAAACCTCTCCATTCTGAAGGAAATCAGCCCTGAGTGCTCACTGGAAGGACAGATCGTGAAGCTCTGGAAGGACAGATCGTGAAGCTGAGGCTCCAATACTTTGGCCACCTCATGAGAAGAGAAGACTCCCTGGAAAAGACCCTGATGTTGGGAAAGATGGAGGGCACAAGAAGAAGGGGACGACAGAGGACGAGATGGTTTGGATAGTGTTCTCGAAGCTACAAACATGAGTCTGACCAAACTGCGGGAGGCAGTGGAAGACAGGAGAGCCTGGCGTGCTCTGGTCCATGGGGTCACGAAGAGTCGGACATGACTAAACGACAACACAACAACATGGACCTGTTAGGTCCATAAATTACCATGTAGCATATATTCAACACAAAAAACAGCGACAATTTGTTGTTGACAAAGGACAGCTGGACATATAAAGGGCCCCATTACCTTCAGTAGCTTAGGGCCTCATCAAACCTAAATCCGGCCCTGGCTGCAGTGACAGCCAATTTTAGCCTAAAGGAGGCAGTGGACAACTCTTTGCTAAGGAAAAAAAAACCTTCTCTAAGACAATATAGGGCCAGTCTCCATACTGTATCATTGTCTAAGGTACATCTCAGATTGAGGTTTTTCTGGATAATGTGGATTAACTAGATCAGGGGTTTCCAGGAGTCCACAAGCTTCATTCAAGTTGTCTATGGATTTGTGGATGAAGGCAGGAGATGGCCCTGAATCCATTGCACTAAATATTTATATTGATTTTTTTAACAGTGTTTTAATTGGTTCTCTTACTGTATTAAGTGGAATAAAACAAAATACACTGTATGAGAAATAAAAGAAGCAATTAAGGTGCCATTTTAAATTGTGCAGTATCTAGGACAACACATTGTTTTTAAACAGAGGATGAAACAAAGGTTGGATGGCCCATCTGCTAGGGAATCTTTAGCTGTCATTCCTGTCATTCGTAGATGACTCTTCCAACTCTACAATTCTATGATTCTATTATTACAATAGCAGGCAGAAAAATCATTATGTGGTCCGCCAAGGCCCTCAGCAATGCTAAGTGGTTTTTGGGGATCGGTGGGGAATTTGGGAACCACTGATTTAGATCTAGTTCAGTCCATATCCAGACATAAACAGCTTTGTTCCCCTTGGATCCTGTGGTGAGGGTCTGTGCGTACCCTGGGAAAGCAGTGTAATCCATCAATGGGTGGGGAAAGACTGTCATAGAATCACAGAATTATAGAGTTGGAAGGGACCTAGAGAATCATCTAGTCTGACCCCCTTGCAATGCAGGAATATTCAGCTGTCCCATAAGGGAATCGAACCTACAACCTTGGCATCATCAGCACCATGGTCTACCCAGCTGAGCTATCCAGGCTCCTCTGAATTAATCCTTCCCCCACAGCCCGTTTCAGCAGAAGCCAATTCTCCACTGCAAGTTCCCATCCCAGCCACCATTGGCAGAGTCCCCTACACGGGACGCAATGCTCAGAGTGCCTACTATTGGTTGATGGTGCTGGTGGCAGCCACAGCGCTCCCGTCTGCAGACACCACAGAGAGGTGGGATGTCCCAGAGTCATCCGGATTGTAATATTCTGGCTCGTAGTAGCTGACTTCATGGGTCTCATCAGTGATTTTGGCCCACAGCTTCTTCGAAAAATGCTCCGAGGTTATGTTATCGATGATCTGGATGGAAGGAGAGAAAGCAAAGGCAGTGGTGGTTATCGCCAAATCGGGACCTGACTTGGCACTGTGGGATATTTAAAATGCAGTCAAACCAACCATTCATGTTTTGCTAGATGGGCACATGATACGAGCTGAAGCTCGCAGAGTTTTCCTGTAAGTTCTCTGGAGAGAATTCTGTGAGAGACACTCCCACTGTGCCCCCCTGACATGGGGAGGGCATATCTTTATTTTCTTCTTCCTCCCCCCCCCAAAGTTTTTATTGGTTTTCACAACATTATAAACAAACAAACAAACAAACACATAAAACAAACAAACAAAAATCATAACCTTATTAAAAATTACACTTATTAACATTGTTAAGTGACTTCCTCATTTCCCCTTGGTTGAATTTC